GGGGGGGGGGGGGGGGGGGGGGGGGGGGGGGGGGGGGGGGGGGGGGGGGGGGGACCGCGGACAGGGGCAGGAGTAGGAGTCGGAAAAGCATGGGGGCTGGGACAGGGACGGGAGCGGGGGTCGGGGTGAGGGCAAGGGGGAGTGGGGCAGGGGGGGTGGTGAGGGCAGGATGAATTGTTTATTTAAAATGAAAATGCTTCCAGCATATCAATCAATTTCGTGGAATTTGATAGGCAAGAACACACATTGTTGGATGTTGAATTTTTTATTCATGCCATTTTTGGCAATCAATCGTTCATAACGATAGGAAAAAAAAATGAAAAGGGATGCGAAGCCAAAACGGATGCAACAGGCTGGCAGACAATATTGACAGCAAGTTTGACAAACTCCAAGAACGCACAGACCCAAAAAAAAAAAAGACAGAAGAAAAAAAAGAGACTGATTTCAACAGTGGCTTAAAGCAGAGCAAGGTCTGTCTGACGAATTGAATCCGGAAATGACACACCTTGTATGCCGCGCACTCCCCACCCGCTTGGGCCACTCGAGACTGCAGAATCTGAAACGTGGCCTCTTTACCACCATTCACAGGACGAAGCGACACCAACCAATATTGGTTCGGCATCTGCAAAAGATTCACCAACAAAAACACACAAGAAAAGCGAAAAAAAAAACAAAAACAAAAAAAAAAACAGCTATGCTGCATCAGCACCTTCCATTAGCTAGCTGTCTGCCCTCTCTCTCTCTCTCTCTCTCTCTCTCTCTCTCTCTCTCTCTCTCTCTCTCTCTCTCTCTCTCTCGCGCGCGCGCGCGCGCGCACGCGCTCTCTCTCCCCCCCTGATGTTGGCGATCTATCCTGACCTCGGCTAGTATAAAATTAACCAAAACAAATTAAAAACTGAAAAAGGGATCTACTTTGAGAGGTGGGTAGAGAACCAGAAGAGAGAGAGAGAGAGAGAGAGAGTTTGATGATGACGATTTCAGAGGTCAGCAATGCATTTTAAGAAGTGAAGCTCTTGACCTTAGCAAAGTCATAAATTAAACTCAAAAAAAACGAAAAAAAGGGCACTAGTTCGATAAGTGGACTCGAAACAAAACAAAAAAAAAGGATCACACGTTCCTTGTGCAATATCTCCTTAATTAATTTAATTGCAAAATTAATTACAAATATGATCACAATATCTCATTAATTAATTTAATTGCAAAATTAATTACAAATATGATCACCTTGGTTCATTACAAATGATGGCCTCAATTAATTAATTATACAAATAATGGCCTTGATTAACCTTGATTAAGTAGACAGCAAAATGCCGGTTAATTCTTTTTTTGGGGGGGATTAATCATTAATAATTACGGTTCGTTGCCGTGATTCTTTGTGGATTAAAGCACACCAGTACATTGGCATCTGAGCCGCGGGCCTGCCACCTCCAATTCTGGAAGGCCGAAATGAATACGCGACGATCCATCCAATTTATCAACGGCAGGCCCAGCGTTTGACGTCTCGGTTTTCTTTTTTTTTTTTTTCTTTTTTTTTTGGTGGAGGTGGCGGGTATCGATCCTGACGTTTCGGCCTCGCTCGTTTACTTGTGACGACAAGTTTCGGATTGCAAGGCTGGGGCCGTGTACTAGTGGTTTAATACTAGTAATAATTTTTTGAATACTAGTAAAAATTAATCATCATGGTATCTCTTTTTGCGTGTCGATGAATTCTTTCTAGGTTTAGCAATCACTACGAATCTTTTTTTTTTTTTTTTTTTTGGGGGGAGCGCCGTTGCCGGGGAGCAAAATCACTATGAATCTTATTGGATGAATATATATCTCACTTCTATGTAAATGATTAATTAAGGTGATTATTTGTGATTAATGAAGGTGATATTTGAACTCTATAAAGTGGAGCAGAAGGACGTCGTTTGTAATTAATTATTTAAGGCTATTATCCGTAATTACTAATTAATTAAGGCCAGCATTGATAATTAATCCAGGCGATGATTGCTAATTAATTAGGCTGATCATCTGTAATTAATCGAGTACTATCGATTTCATTTCCGGTATGCCTCCCTCCCTCTCTCTCTCTCTCTCTCTCTCTCTCTCTCTCTCTCTCTCTCTCTCTCTCTCTCTCTCTCTCTCTCTCTCTCTCTCTCTCCCTCCCTCCCTTCTCTGCTTTCTCTCCTCCACTCCCTGAATCATCGGTTTCGATAATTTTCGTTTTTTTTTTTTTTTTAATTCCTCTCTAGAAAAGGGAGTGTTTTCTCTCTCCCTTTTCTAAAGAGGAAACAAAATATTATATATTATTCTCATTTCGTTATAATTTATAATTAACAATAACACGGCCGAGGAAGAGGAATAAGAACGAATAATTCTTCGACAGCCGTCCAGCTCCATCCCATAAATTGTTATCTTTGCTTTTTACACCCCCCCCCCCTCATAGACGAGAATTTTATAAAAATAACCACCCTAACCTCCATATGGCAGCTCCTTCGACATGACGAGGGCGTACTCAGACACTACCAGTAGCACTTTCCTAAATGTATCTGACCGCAATTACGGTCAGACCAGGATGAATCTGACTGCAATCGCGTCCACAGTTTAGTAAAAACAAAGTCTTAGTGTGAGTATGTGCTGAGTATCTTATCGGATCTCATCTTTTGTCTTATATCACTACTCGAATCAAACAAATGCTCTATCCATAAACGAAAATTCCAAAAATAACCAACCTAACGACCATGCCGCAGCACCCTACGTGATGATATGGCCTCTCTCTCCTCTTTCTCCCTTTCGTCCTCCCCTCCTCCACACGGCGGAGAGAGAGAGAGACGGCGGAGAGGGAGAAGAGAGTGGACAAAGGCAGGAGAGACGAAAGAGGGAAAGAGAGGAGGGAGAGAGAGAGAGGGGAAAGAGAGAGGAAAGAAAGGAAGCAGAGAGAAGAAAGAGAGGGAGAGGAGCGAGAGGCAGAGCAGGGGAAAGAAACGGAGAAAAGGGAGAGAGAGAGAGAGTAGGGAAAGAAAGAGACAAGAGGAGGGAGGAGGGAGGGGGGAGGTGTACAGGGGAGCGTGATCATCCCCTGGATTCATTATGGACTAGATACAGATTTCGAAGATGGAGGATGCTCCTCTTGCCACGTCATCATGCACATGTATATACGTATATATAACAATATAATATTTTAATAATTTTATTGATATATACAGACGTATACATATGCTAAACATGCTAATCATGTCACGACATGCTGCTGCCTCTTTTTGTCCTCCCGCGAATAAAACCCATGAGTAATAATGAACCATCATCAGATTGCTCAATAGTCGTAGATTCCAAATTGAGGTCAGATTCGAAGTATCTCCAAGCTTCCCGCCAAAAAAAACAAAACCCAGTCTGACTACATCCGGATTCGAACTGTCGAGCAATCGACTACCGTCTTCCCCCGACTAGACCCCATGGTCATTGTAGCTGTATTTGGGTCAATTCTTTATCTAGATACAGCGACAGTGACCGTCCGTTCTATTTCGGGGACGACGGTAGTCGACGAATCGCATCGTGAACATATTTCACATTAGGGCATACTGGCACAAGGACATTCCTTGATGCATCTGACGGCAATCGCGGCCAGATTCAGTACAAAATGGCCTACTGTGGGTAGTGCTCTTAGACGCGTTAGCAGTCAGATACATTCAGTCATATGATTAAATATTCCCTGTCCAGGGAGAACGATGAAACAGAAGAGTGACGTGAACGGACCAATAGCAATCAATCAATCAAACGTGCTCCGACCGTCTTTCCACAACATAACGCCCTATATCTGAATCGGACCAGAAAGTTGCACTGAATTCAGCTACAATGACCGGGTGCTCCCGACCTTCTTCCCCGCGAACACAACACCCAGTCATTATATCTGTATGTGGCCTGAAAGTCGCACTAAGTTCAGCCGTAATGACTGGGTGTTGTATTCGGGAAATACAGGAACGCCAGTTTGCATCCTCCTCTTCGACGTGCTCCACCTCTCAACCACCTCCATCTTCACACAAATCTTCGAGTAATAAGGTAAGAAAGTAAAGAAAAGCACTCGGAAAAGTTAAGTAAGAAAATGATAAAACAGACTTTAAAAAGTGAAAAACAAAAAAAACAGAAAGAAGAGAAGAAAAGTGATACAACAAAAGTAAAAACCTTTCTCTCTCTCTCTCTCTCTCTCTCTCTCTCTCTCTCACTCTCTCTCTCTCTCTCTCTCTCTCT